AGTGGTCATATAGTATATAGGATAGAATAGGATTACAGATCCGAATAGTAATAGAGGACAGACTAAAAATGAGGATCGTTTAGACGTCATGCTACTTTTTGCTTAATCATTTTCTCTATGGCCACGTGGTCTACTTAGTTCAATAATGGGATCGCCTATTTTTGCTCACTGGCGATCGATGTTCAAACTCAAGTGTCGGCAGCGACACTTTATTCTTATATAACAATACGTAAGTTTTAAATCAATACGGTGATATTCTAAGCGTAGCTTAGATATGGCATAAGGCCGGAAGTATGGGGCACCCAGTGAGGACTGAACTCACTACTCAGTTGTAATTGTTCTAGCGAGAAAAGCTTGCTAACCATTACACCACTTCTAGGTGCCCAAAATGATTTTCTAAGCGTAGGTTATATGTTACACAAGGCCGAAAGTGGGGAGCAATCCAGTGAGGATCAAACTCGCTACTCAGTCGTAATTGATCTAGCAAGGCAAGCTTGTTACACAACGTCGAAGTTCTTCGGAGAATCTACTAATATGAAAGTTTTAAATTAATAAGGAACACATTATTTACAATATTACAAAAATATTCTTATAGTTCACTATAAAATGAATATTATATTTGCAAGATAAATATATACAGGTTGCGATAGGTAAATTGTCACTATTTTTCCTGAATGTGCGTTGTTTATTTTTTATTATGGAAATTTGTTCACGGCATGCTGTACTGATTGGCATTCGCACCGGAATCTCTAATACGAGCATTTCAAAGTGTTTGGGTGTCAATCTGAGGACAGTGCAAAGGATTCGGAAAGAGTTGGATGATATATCCAGTCAACATCAGAACGTCAGACTAAACACGGAAGCCTACACAAAGCGATTCGAGGAGGTAGTCCTGACCTTGATCAAGAGGGTAGCTGCTGGAAGACCCTATGTCTGGCAACAGGACTCTGCACAATGCCACACAAGAAGGATAACCCAGTTATGTTTGTCAGACAATGCCTGCGACCACATCACCCCTTGCTTCTGGCCAGCTAACTCTCCAGACTGCAACCCTCTCCTTATTCATCATGCATGGGGCAAGAGACCATCAAAACTCCTTGTAAAACCAAGGATTAACTGAAAGCAAGCAATATGGCAGTATTTACCAACTTAAACAAGGAGACCGTCCAGAAGAGTTGCAGGAGATTCCGAAGTAGTCTGGAGGCTGCGATTGAAGCCAATGGCGATTTTATTGACTGAAATTATTCTTTTGTATTCGAAGATATTTTTGTGTAACTTTGGTAAATATATCTGTTAAAATGAGATGTTATTTTCATATATATGCCTTAACCGGGTATTGAACTCACACTCTGCCATGTGTCCTCAAAGACACATGGCACAGTGGATAAAGGCGTTGGTTAGATCCAGTGACAGGACCCAAAGATTTCAATAAGGCAGTGGAGAACTTTCAGAGGGAAATTAACAGGAGATAACTAATAACTGACATCCATCAAACATGACACATGGAACTAAAACAGTCTACCCCAGTGGGCGAAATAAAGGGTTCAGTTCGACATTCCAACCACCTGAAGAAGGCCGGAGCGTACAACGGCCGAAACGTTGTGATAAATATGGCGGCAAAGATGAGGACAATAGTCCGAATAATGTAAATAATGTACATAATACCTCATCTCAGAAATATAGACAAATATGCTTGTATAAAATAATATATATATATATATATATATATATATATATATATATATATATCTATAAAAATATGCTGCTTATATATATATATATATATATATATATATATATATAATAAGCAGCATATTTTATACAAGCATATTTGGTTAAATAGTTGACATGAATTTTGTCTATTTATTTTAGTTTTAATCCTTTCAAGTCCACGAATTAATTTCTTGGTGACTGCAGAAAATGGATGGATTAAAAAATCCACAGATCGTAGCATTTACTTTTGTAAATGTGCTCAATACAAAGTAGAACAATATATTATTATTATATTTTTATTATAAGAGATTATAGTAAAAACATTTTGAAACCGCTACACTAAAGCTTTCATGTTTCAATACTATGATTGTATTTATCCAGCCGATGGTAAGTAACTGGTGATTAAATGATTTTTAAGGAATTTTTTTTTTTAAAGTGTTACCTCTTTTCCGAAATTTAAATGGGAACATAAGGTCAGAATTAAAAATAGACTTGTGGGTATGTCTTGATTAACCAATTAAAAGTTAGATTTAGGCTAAATAGAAAAGCGAGCTCAGAGTTCTTTTTTCATGTCACGATAAACTGGCACATAGATATGCTATCATTGACGATTGCAGAAAATATGGCAGCGACAAATGTATACATAGCAGTATTTAAGTTGAATAAACAAAATAAGCTAATTACCCGTAGAGGATGGATCATTATATACTAATAAATTATGACTATAAGAATGTTAATACGTATTTTTTTAATCTAACTATATTTTAAGGTAAAAGATAAGCCGTGTCGGAAATTTACAGTTAATTCACTCCTTTGGTTTAACAGAAATATTTAGTCAGCAAATTTGATTATTTGTAATTTTTCATGTAAACATAAGAAGCAACGTTCATTTAAGTTCTAGTTTTTTTTTTAGTATCTTCCATTTTACCGTAGGGGTTTTATTAACTTCTTTTAAGTTCAAAAATATTTAGAAAGGGACGTCCTATTTCTGTACGCATTATTGATGAAAGATAATATATATTGGTACGACCTACTTTTAAAGCAATTCTTGGTACTTCCGGGAGTACATTACATGTCTTCTCTTAAGATTGTGGCCGCCAATAACGAATTCCGATAGAACTTCAATGTGAAGGTCGTATCGATTAGGTGAGAAGACCCACCCTTGTCTTACATCTCTTTCTATCTTTGTATATTTCCTGAACTCATTTTCTATCAGTACGCATGCAGTTTGCTGTCAATATAGGTCCTGAATTACTCTAACATCCTTCTCAAATATGTCACGGTTACCTAGCAGTTCCAATTACGTACTTTATCAAACACTTTTGCATAATTTATAAAACACATGTGCACATAATTCTATATTTGTATTGCACTTCTGATGTCATTCTGAGCATAAATAACACATTTCTTTTTCCAGTGTCTTTAACGAACCTACAATGTTCTCGTCCTATTTCTGGTCTGATTCTGCTGCACGCTCTATTCATCAGAATAAGGAAAAGAGGTTTAGTTATCGTCTGCAAAATCAAAGCAAGCCCTCGTTTCATGAGATACGGTCACCGAGCGCCACCGAGCGCCACCGGACGGCAAAGGACACCGCCGAATGATTCTTGGCTACTTCCATCGTATGCCAAACGCTGTTTATTTGTTTTTTTGTTTTGTTTTTTTTTCCTTGAGACACCGGTTTATTTTTCGCCTGGTCCCAATTAAACTTCTCCAAATTAAGTTTTCTATGAAAATAAAATATATGAAAAATATATCCGCGGCTACTTGAATAAGAAAAATACTGTAAAATAGAACTAAGAATTCGAAATCAAATCAAACAACCAAGTCATTGAATCGAGGGTAATCTCAAGATGCCAGCTTCTCACTTGATAGCTTCATTAAATAGATATAATCTGAGAGTACTCAAACACCGATAATTCTCTTTTTGAAAACAGCCGGCTTTGTAATTCTCCCATCCATACTGAGATCTTCTTCTAAGCAAGAATAATCGTTTTGAAAAACTGCAGTCAGTCAAAACCCTAACGACAAATTATGGACGACATATTGACGTTGGTTTCCCTAAAACATTAGGCTGCTTCAGTTTTGGTAATTAATAACGGAAATAGCTAAGAAAATGGGGAGAAAATAAAATTAATGAAATGCAATAAAAACTCTCACTATCTCTGTCTCACTCTCTCTCTCTCTCTCTCTCACTATCACTATAATTCTGTCAATCGCTCTCTTCCATTCTCTATCTCACGCTCTCACTCTCTCGCCCCATCTCTACCTCTCTCACTCCTCACGCTCTCTCTCTCTTTTTCTCACTCTTTCAATCACTCTCTTTCATTTTCCCTCTCTCTCATGCACACACACCCACTCACTCACTCACTCACTCTCTCTCTCTCTCTCTCTCTCTCTCTCTCTCTCCCACGTTCTCATTCTCTCACTCTCTCTCTCATATATGACGAGAGGATGTAATGGTTATTGGCGCTGAAAATGGGATTGACATGCCCGGATCAGTTCTGGTCGAAGTCGCTGTGTTCACCAATACTCTTGCTAAATCTATGAATCTGGTTCTTTTCCTCCTCGATGATTTCCAATTGCGATGAAGACTGGGCTAGCTAGCAATGATTATCAACCACTCTAGAAAAAGGATATTTCTAAATTCAGTCCTGATTGGGGTGGGTATTTGGATACTTTGTACCAAGCCTTGCACCATTTGTTAGCAGATCTTCCAAAAAGTCTATATGATTCTACACAGGCCTTCACCTCTACAACCAAATCATCAGCATGGGTAGTCAATCATTGAGATACGAACAGATCGCAGTCAACGAGACAGTCCGCTACACAATAACCACGCCGTTAACCACGTGTTATGCATAAAAAAATGATTTAAACTTTAAATTTTCACACTATTTACATTATCCGGACTATTGTCCTCATCTTTGTTACCAGATTTATCACAAGGTTTCGGCCGTTGTATGCTCCGGCCTTCTTCAGGTGGTTGGAATGTCGAAACGTTGTGATAAATATGGCAACAATAATAATGTAAATAGTATACATAACACCCCATCTCAGAAATATAGATTTAAATTTTTAAATTTAAATTTTTAAATTTAAATTTTTAAATTTAAATTTTTAAATTTAAATTTTTAAATTTAAATTTTAATTACGGTGGTGAATCTTTTTTAAAAATGTCCCTCCAAATCACTAGTTTCACAATTCTAAATAAGAAATTGATTGTGAGAGAATGAAAATCCCAGTGGAAGTAGAAAAAACGAAAATATTTCATTAAAGCGTAAAACTTTAGATAGATAGATAGATAGATAGATAGATAGATAGATAGATAGATAGATAAAACAACCAGAGAAAGAGAGGAGACGTTTCATTGATACAAACAAATTTAGGTAACTCAAAGGAAGGAAAGGACCCTATTGAAACGAACAAATTGATTTACATAAATAGACAGATGGATCGAATATTTAAAAATTCAATATTTCTTAGATAAGGTATTTAACTGTTTACGCTATTTTGACTGTTGTCCTCATCTTTATTGCCATATTCACGACGTTTTTGCCATTGTACGCCTCGGCCTTCTTCAGATAATATACGTTGGAATTTCAAATCAAAACCTTTATTTAGTCCACGGTGGTAGATTGTTCTAATTCCACATGCCATACCTTTTCTGGATATCTCAGTTTCAGTTAATTTCCTTTAGTAACTCAAATCTCCAAGTTTTTGTTCACCTGTGCTGTGGCCAGGTATTGAACTCACAACTGTCAGGATCAAGTCACTCTTTGGATTATTCAACCAACGTTTTTATCCACTAAGTCCAAAGGACTTAAAAGAGTTAAAAAAAAAAAAAGTTAAAAAAAAGTTAGGACAAATAATGAAAGATGACTTGGAAAATTTGACACTCACAAGACAGTTTTAAAGCAATACATAACCTGCTCAGTGAGCTTGTGTAAACGGATAGCGGAACACGTTCTAGAAGAGATAACAAATAGATAAAATTTATTAAGAGTTACAAAGGACAGGAAATTGTGGAGAGCCATGATCGCTCACCTCCTGAAAGGACATGGCACAGAGAAAAGAAGAACTTAAAATATCTTCAAACCTGATAGTGGGACAAAGAAATTTGTACAATAATGCCTTTTTTTAATTAATTGACCTCTAGCAAGGCGATAATGTCACTAAGACGCAAATTTAGAATACTTAAAGTAAAAGAAAATGAGAAGATTCAGACGGAACCGGAAGTTCAATCTTAAACAGGCAACAAGGGATAAACCTTTACTCCTGTTCAAAAGACCGGGTAGGAGTGTGAACCGGAAACGCAATCCTAAACAGGAAACAAGCGATAAACTTTTACTCCTGTTCAATGACCAGGTAGGAGTGTTAACCGGTTGATAGCCGAATAACAAAAAAAGTGATTCTCAGTTTTCCGATAATACATCCATTTTTTCGGGCGGGTAATTCTGTGAATGATGGACAATGGAATACCTACAGATTTATTTCAGACTTTCTTCATAACCCCGAATCTGATTAAATGCATAACAAGTCAGAAAACGTTTTAAATTTTTCAGTATTCATTTAATGAATCGCTTCATCAGAATTATTTTGGAGATTTTTCAAATGTTTTTGATTAAGCTAAATAAAATTGGAAAACATGTTAAATTTAAAAGGTTTTCCTACTTATTCCACATTTAATCATTTACTTGGATTTAATATCCACCAATCTTGAGTATAGTTTTACTTTTTCTTAATGATCGTAATGTGATTGAGGGTTTGTTTGTTTTGTGTTTATCTACCTTTTCTTGCTTATCTGCTTTTTTTTCTGATTATTTTAAGGCCGTTACGAGGTAGACGTCTTCAGGTCGAAATGAGAGACAAATATGCGTGTAAAGGAATTGCATTACAATTTAAATAATAAAGCAAATCTCTTTATCAAATGCTATGGGCAGAATGTTTTTTTTCTTTTCCTTTTTCTATTTTGAAGCAGTTAATGTCTCTTAGATTTGAAATTTCGCCTACTTTGAATCATTTTTTTATTTTTATTTCTTGCACAATGCAATATACGAAGTAAAAGAAAAAAGTAACAGGAACCTACTCAGAGTGGGAAATTTTTCAAATCCTGCAGATGTTAAAAGTTTCAATACGAAAGAAAAAAAAATCAAATTTAGGGTTGTACCATCTGTTGGAAAGCATCTTTCGCTATTAGGTCTTAATTCCATCCCAATTCCTTTATACACGGGTTTGGCTCTCAATCCAACCTTATGAAATCTACCATAAGAGGTGAAATGTGTTTTCTGAATAGTTTTTCCACGTTGTCACATTATCTCCATTCTGTTTTTGTTTAAATATCTAAAATTAGGACCGTTGAAAAATTTTGTAGACAACACCGGGTATCTAAAGTCGCCAGAGAAGTAATTCCTCTAAACCAAGTTTTAGCAAAGAAAAAAAAAACCTTTAATAAAATCTTTGAAATCATCAATCGTATTTGACAATAATTGGAAAAAACGAAATGATTAATTTGAAAAAAAATGGGAAAAAAAGTAAATGATTGTTTTCGATTTTTTTAATAGAAGTTACAAAACTTTACATGTAACGTAAATCGTTATCTTCTGTCTCCTTAAATCTTGTTCGTTTTTTTTCATAGGTGACTTTTTTTTCTGTTTCCTTCATTCTTTTGTATTTAATTCTCAGCAACCCATTGCATCTTAGTGGCTTTATCGACTTGCTTCCGGTGAAATGATTGAAAAAAAAGAAACAAAAGAACAAATCGAAGTAATAATTCCATTTGAACAAAAAAAAATTCTACAACTTTTTTTGTTGCAAGAAACAAAGCAAAGTTTTTTTCAGGTGCTCCAAGAATCAATACAAAACATTTGATTAAGCTGTTTTTGTTTTTTTTTAAATTTTTTTTATACCAAAGTCTAATGATCGCGTTTAGTGAAATAAAATCTTGATGAACAAACAAGAAAGAATATATCTGTCTATATTTCTGAGATGAGGTATTGTAACTATTTACACTATTTAAATTCTTCGGATATTTGTCTTCATATTTGTTGTCATATTCACGATGTTTCGGAGAGTGTATGCTCCAACCATCTTCAAGTGATTGGAATTTAGAACCGTACCCTTAAAAGCACCTTTCTTTTAAAAGGGATTTGCTAGCAGCGAATGTCCAAGAGTCCTCCTCCTTTTAATTTTCTTCTTGCTGAGAAGTTAAGGCGTTAGTCCAGGGTTCCGATATCGCTGCCGCTTAATAATTTGTTTGGGTATTAAAAGGATAGGCTTCGGAATTTACGATAGATCTTTCCACACCTCGTGCTTGATTTCCAGCTTCTGTGAGGATGAGAGTTTTGTTTTCAAGAAGTCTCTGCCGAATAGGAGGTGCGGCTCTTACTATCTAGATCCTGAATTTTAGGTTTTTGTATACAGTTCATGTTAACATCCGAAGCAAAAAAATAGTAGTAAATAGAATGGCGTAAGCTATAATTATCCAAAAGTATCCACTAGTGTTTCTCTAGTAGTTTAGTCTTCAAGCTCGGGGTTAGTGGTATCTACCAGTTCGCCCACGTGGCAACCGGATGTGACACAAGGTCGAAGGTTAGTTGATCTATCGGTCACATTGCGCGAAATTTCCAAGCCCCCTCTGCAGTTCCCCTTTTGAGGAGAACTCAGGCACCAGACAATAAAACCAGCCGTCTCTCGAGGGAAAGGTACTGCCTGAGTGGAAAGTCCCCTGAAGCTTGGACTAGTATTCAAAAAATACTAGTCCCAACCAAAGGTCAGGATTAGTTTAGGTTAATGATTAGTTTAGTCACCAGCTGTAGCAATTGCTATTTATATGCTGGAGATTTGCATATGAAAACATCCTGTATGTTTGGTCATTTTTCTATAAAATGTATTGTTGGTAATTCTACTTTGAAATTTATTGCTGATCATTTTACTATAAAATGTATTGTTAGTCACTTTACCATAAAAATTTATAGTCCCCTGTTTTTGTTTGGAGCTTCACTATTTGCCCATAGTTGAGATCCTACCGGAGTGGACCTGGGAACGACAAGAATTAACAGTTCGTTGGATGCTCTTCAAAAATCCCAATCTCCTGATCAGAGGCCTGAATGTCGTCAGTAAACTGTGTGGAAATAACCTTTTAGTTAGACTTCAAACTTATTCTTTATTTTTGATCTGAACTGTTTGCGAACAGCAGTAGAATGACGATCTTAGGGGTAGTGAGGAAAAGCAATTGAAATTTGGATGTAAGACAAGTCAGAAATGAATAATTGTTGATAATAATAATAATAATAATAACAACAAAATAATTTTACTTATGATAATAATGGCAATATTAATTGTTTCCTTATGAGGAAACATTCAATATTCATTGACTGAGCAGGTCGCGATCAACAATTTGAACAAAGGCAAACATTGGTTTGGAATATCTATAAACAGTGAAAAAAACAATGACACTCTCTCAAATTTAAACCGAATATCCTGTATTTCAAAATACATTCGGCATGACTTCTTTGCATTGTTTATTTACTTATAAAATCTACACGTCTGGTTATATCACTTGAAAAATATATACGGCCTTTGAAATATTATTATTATAATGGCTTTGAAATACCCGGTTCTCATACGAATGCATAAGTTAGGCATCGTCGAAGCTGCTCAGTACTTATATGGGTGACTGCAAGGGAATACCAGGTACTAAAAGCTTAGATCTGCGTGAGCTATGATGGATAACAGCTCGGAATTTAAAATTGGAAAGCCGAGTTCTAATTCCAGTCAGGTTCGATATATTCACTTACGCGCAAATACCTTGGGAAAAGTATGAATACACGTGCCCCCGACTCACCACTAAACAGCTAACCATTAAATAGTAGAACTTGTATCAGTAACAATCATTATTATATCAAAAAAAAATCCTTACAATATAAAAATATTTTCTGGCTTTAAATAATCTGCAAAAGGTTGATAAACCGTAAAAATCTATAAACCAACCAATGAAAATTTAAAATAAATGATAAAAAGTACTCTTATACATCGAATCAAGACGAGAATGTTGCAATTTACAGGACACATAATGAGGAAAGAGAGCTTAGCGAATGTGACACTCACAAGACATATTAAAAGCTATATATGGACAGAGGAAAGCAGTGAGTAACTAACCCAACGAAATTTTGTAAATAGATCTCATCTATTTACAGTTGAGCTGGCTTCATGTAACTAAATTCTATGCTGACTGTTTCTTTTCTCGCACTTCTTGCTTGTGGAACTCCTTTCCTGTCCCATGCATTCTAACCAACTATAATCTGTCAAAATTTAAATGCAATGTCAATCGCTATCTACTGTCTCCCTGATTAAGCTTTCCTCTTCCAGC